GATTCCTCATCTTCTATTTTATAGACTGCCAAGTTAATTCAGCAAAAGGTGAAGTAATTCAGATGTTAGTATAGAAGACTTTTTTGCAATGAGAAAATTTTACATATCTAGTTTAATATATAATTTAATATATAGCTACATTTAAGCAACCCTCCTTACAGAAAATGGATGCCATACAAAACTCACCTCAAGAAACATCCTCAAGTAGTGAACATAAAGATAAGAGGAGAAAGGTACAATATTGTGATTTAGAAAGCCAAGATGATGTTGACTGTGATTATAAAATTAATAATGCTTCTATAGTATCTGGTAAAGTTACTATTCCAGATATTAACAAACATTTAATTTGGTTGGAAAAGCATTATGTAGAAGGCATTATAATAAATTAATTGTTAATGCAAAAAAAATCAAAATAACTAACACTTGTTCACATCCCAAGCATAATATTTATCTTTCTACAGCTCAAAAAGAAGAAAGAAATTCATTCTGGAAGGCACCTGGACGATTAATTAATTATTTTAAATTATTAGAGACAGCAATGATGTGTCGTCACTGTTTGTATAAGACTGATAATGATCCAGAATATTTAAATTCACCTAATTATCAACCACCAGCTCAAAAAACATCAAATAAAAATATTCAGAAATTTCAAAATAGAAGATATGTTTTACGTGATGATATTTTTTATTCTGAGGAAGAATTTCAACAATTAGAGTCTGCATATCATGAAGTGTGTGCAGAACTTGACAAAGCAAAACTGGGTAAGTAATTAATTATCCTTCTAATCTTTACACACTAATATATTAAAAATAACAATATTGTTTATTATTATTGAACAAAATGAAAATATATATCTTAAAAAAAAATTTTTTTAAATAAAATGATGAATTACTTTTATTGTCAATAATTATATTTAACTAGCTTATTTGCTTTATTTTAGAGACGGCACCTCTTAATAAAAAAATCAAATTAATGGCAGGTGTATTGTATATAAGACAGAGGGTGAATAACGAAAAACCCATTTTAGAACCTGATGAATTTAATAAAATGTTAGAAGAAGCTGAACCAGCATTAAAAGGTTTTTTTAATCAACTTTATGCTGGAACAAATCCAAAAGATAAAAATAACATGACTAATGAAAAAAATAAAAAAAGATTAGTTTTATTTTGTTATTTTCTGGCAGGTCTGAATAATAAATTCATCAATGGAATTAAAGCTGAAATTGGATATATGTTAGATGGTGCAGGTACATCATCCTCAGCTATTGAAACATTTGCAGGAGCAGGTATAAGCATTAGGCGTGAGACAGTAATGAGGCATAAAAAAAAACAAGAAAATACTCACAATGATACTGTTAGCTCCTTTGTATTAGAACATGTAAGGATAATGCTTATGAATTTTAATTTAGTTGTAATTATATTGCAAATATTAATTTAATTTAATGAATTTGATGTAGATGGATGGCCAATTTTGATGATTATCATAACATCCATACTATATGATGTGGTGATACAACAACATCTTCAGATGTTCATCACTTTCAAACTATCTTATTAAAAGCAGTTCCAGAATTACCAACAGTTCCATTTGATAATCTACACGTTAATAAAAATGTCCACAATCCAAAAGGAATTGATGCAGAGCTTATTGTGGAAAATGTTCAGGTATTGTTTTTTCCTCATCTTTGGTTAACGTATAATGAATGTAAGTTTGTTTTTGCTAAAGAATTACCTGAAGCAAGAAACCATGAAGAATGTATTGAGATGTTGTTGGTACATAGTTATGATAATAGGATACAACAATGAAAAGAAGACAGAAGTATGGATAACACCAAGCTTGTCAACTTGGTCATCTCAGGATTCTTCCACAACTTGTTCCGGACATTTGTCAGTCTATTTCAGTAGTGCAGGTAGACATGTAATGGGCAGTTGGTTGGCATGGTGTCACCATTATCAGTGGAGCTCAAGATTTCACACAAGTGGGACCATTTATCTTCAGCCATTGTCAAGGTGTAGAAGATCTGAGGAAGGCCATAGGCAACTAATTTATTGTTTTTTTGAAAAGTTAATTGAGTTTCATTCAGATGAAATCTCTAGCAATGGGTTAAAAAAATTTTATGACATGGAAGCACTTGCCCAAATACTTAAGCCAATCCGAACTGCAATACAAGAATTAGAAACCACATCCATCACTTTAGCAGACTGCTATATTCATCTTATAAAGATTGCTGCTGCTTTTAAGCAATTACCTCTTGAAGACTACTGAAGTTTTAGAAATTGTTGTGTAGAAACATTTAATAAAAGGTAATATTTTTGATTTTTGATTTTTAAATAAATATAATTTTTATTAATTACAACTATTTCATTAGGTTTGAGATGTTTATGGATGATACATATCTTCTTTCATTTTATCTTCATCCTCAGTACAAAGGTATACTGTTTTGTTATTTATTATTTAATAATTAAACCTCTAATTTTTACTGCATTATTAAAAAATTAAGGGATTGGTGTTAATAAAAAATATTTTCCAAAAATTTTAACTCATGCTGCTAATATTTGGAGAGACCTTGAGCACAAACAAGAGTCATGTAAAGAATTGCTTGGCCAGTTACGTAAATATCATCTTCAAATTGAACCTTACAATACATTATATTCAACAAATATTGATACACCATACTCTTGGTGGATCACATGCAATGATACGGTGCAGATCATCTATAATCATTAATTGCTTATAGTAACAATTGGCCAACTTCAAAATACTAAAACAAAAAAA